CCCCTCCCCCCGCTCCCCCCCCAGGATACACTTATTAAAAAGGGTGCAGCTGGGGGTAAACTTATTTAAAAAGGTTGAAAACCCCTGCTCTAGATGATAGAATCTCCTTTTATTTGCTCCAAATCTTTCAGGTGATACCCTAAATTGTCTTTTTTTTTTTTTTTTTTGCTGACAAAATACAGGCAATGAAGTTTCCACATAGGCACTTCAAGTAAGTCATGTGTTTGTAGCTGGCACTTTTGCCTTCTCTGACACTTTAACTTTGGATAATATTAAAGCTTAATCAGCTAGGGCCCATGTAAACTCAGTAGCTTCCCTTAAGGGCAGTCTCACTGAGAGTTGCAGGGCAACAATGGGAGGTTCTGTTCATAACTGATTGAAGAATCAAATCACCCTCTAGTATAGTCATCTGCTTTTCACATCTCTTTGGAAGGTCGTTATTGCAGTTCTGCAGCAACAAGGTTCTGAGTGCTCATCTACTTGGTATACTGCCTTGGAGTCTCCTATAGGGTATCTCTGAAAGGACAAACACATGAATTCAGTAACATACCCTCTTTCATAAATCTTCCGTATGTGCCTTCTGTATGGTCTCTCACCCTCTGTTTTTTCTGGGATATAGTTATATGGCGATTTGGTATAAAAGCAGTGATGATTTGGTCCTCCATCATCTTGCATATGTTTGGCTGAGTGCATAAGAATGGTTGGGTGCATGCCCAGCACAAATATATGTTTCTAGCAAAATCTCTAGCTTCCGGTATATATTTTGCTGTTCAACCACAGTGGAATGCATGTAGGGACAGCTACTATTACTATGTTGGAAAGTAACTTTGTTTTATTTCCACTTGTATGCTGTTGCTAGACTGTGGCCATCCAGTTTTAAGTCTAAGCTAGATCCTGTTCCATTCCATGCACCAACACCAGTATTGACTGAAATAAAATTGCAGGATGTCTGGCAGAGCCAGACTTTCTTCATTGTCTGTATAACAGGGCAGAACTTGGTACCCTCAGGGCAAGACTTGTGTGTTCTTGCTGATGCTTCAGTAAGGTACAATATACACTCAAACAATTTAATAGAAAGTTAATAATAATTAGTATTCTTTGATCATGATCTGGTTTAATCTTCCTTTTTTTAATGCTACTGTCCACTTTATGAAATAGTTACATTGGGTTGTGATTTGGACATTTT